TGACCGCGGCTGGCGACACGCTCTTGAGCCCAGATAGCAACAACTACACCATGAAAACAAATGTTTAATCAAGATGCATTATAGCAGCGCAAGGGGTTTGGGAAAGAGCAAAGTAAGCCACCAAAGCTTTCACAAATAGGCTCACCACAATAGAAAGTGTACGTTCTACAACTTATCATTTCATGGACGAACGCTCTGTGTTTAAAAAGGAGGCATTTTTTCAAACGCACGAACAGAGCCCAAAATATTTCACACTTAAGTGCATCCAACAGGGATGTTTTGAAACCTTTGACGACTCAACGTCTGGGTATGACCAGGTGACAAAATTTGGAGGTGTTGTTGCTTACCCTGCGTTGCTCAGTTCTATTCTATTTGAGTTGGAATTGCTCGCGTATCTTATTCGCATTACACGGAATCCAACAAATATTTAGGTCTTAATCTGTTTAGGAAGAACCAGTGTCAGCATCCGCGCCACTTTGCTGGAATCACAGTTGATTCAAATCACAATTTCAAATGGAAGTCCGACACGAATTACAGCTCCCTATTTTTGACTTTTGCCAGAACCGATTTGATGAATGTCGAGTTCAATCGAACGCGAGCCTGCACTGATCAGCGCGATGTCCAGATGCGTGCTGCTGTGGCAGTTTGGACGTTTGTGGTCCCGCATGCACCCGGCCAAATTCATTGAATGGCCATATGGCTGGCTGGTTGCTGCTTTGACAGCAAGCAGCATGACATACAGGCGGCCCACTGCATGAAACATAAAAATCATTTTTGCAGTGCTACGACGTTTATTAGCATGACTTGAAAGCGCTGAATGCATTTGTTCCAAGCATGCACTCATCCCGCGAAATGCGGTATTGTTCCCTGAAAAACGCTGAACACCTAAGTGGGACAGAAACCATCATTACACATTCATGTATAAGAGTGACTGCATCGGTGACACGCTGCCACCAGGTCATCAAGCATGTGCCTGGACATAAGCCGTCGACAGGCTCATGGGGGTGCCGAGCTCGTTGTAACGCGGTCAGGGTCGCCGAGATGCCTTGGTTTACGTAGGGTGGACAACTGTGCGCCCAACTTGTGTTCTCGGGTGGGTATCGACTATTTAGAGATGAAACTATTAAAGCTGCTGGATCGCCATTGCTGCCAGTGGGCACCAATATGTACACGGGACAGAGTATAGGCTGACCTCCCTGCCCTAGCTTTCTGCCCTAGTTGACCTCCCTGCCCTTGTGACGACAATTCAGGACTGCGATACGTGCCGATCAGTTCCAAAACATTCATTACAGACCACAGGCCCCACACTAAAAGCAAACAGTTTTGGATGCCAGCCCTTTAAGACCGATCTTTCCTTTAGTTTTTGGGTTTTTGAACTGGCATAGCCAAAAAAAAGTGCGCTGTGAGATCTGCACACACCGCGAATCCACACACACACACACACACACATATATATATATATATATATATATATATATATATATATATATATATATATATATAACCCTCAACGTTCAATTTTTTAACGTAATCGCCGAATGGCCGGCGTCCAGAAGTGCAGTGCTTTCGCCGCGCGCCTGAGACACCAAAGGTCTCGATCCCCGTGGTGCCAGGTACTGCGCGGTATCTTCCTGCCAAGATGAGAGGCAGTCGATAGCTCAAAGCCTCAGTTGCTAAGCGTGTCATAAAGCCACAATGATAACAGCATGCTTTCTGTGCAGTTCATTTCTGCTTTATTGTAAGCCTGATGACGTCATAGGCGGAGACAACACACCGGGGCGACGAAACGGCCCTCGATACCGCATTCTGCAATTCATTTGACCCATAGACCAATAGCGCACAAACCTCTGGCTTCAAAAAATTATTAATTTGACATATGACATATACGTTGACCGAACTATGGCTGTTCACTGACTGATGTGTGATATGTGGCTTCATGCAACACGTTGTAACGGGACTGTATCATAATTATATACATGTTTCGCTATGTTCTGTGCCATTGGTGAAAATCAGTGGCAGGATCGTTACTTCGATGCCTTTAAGTCACCAGCATTTTGCCCGATGCTAATACAAATACATTTCCCTTAATGTTACAAGACAATCCCAGCGTCACGGTGCTGGTCACGTCACGGCGCGAGACAACCGCCTCTCTCCGCGGTGTGGAGACATCTCTGCACCGAGCCCCGGCCACGCCCAGAGCGGGCCAGGTCAGTGAGCACCCCCGTCGGCGGTGCTGGAGACGCCTCTGCACCAAGTCCCGGCCACCGCCGGCCACACCCAGACCGGGCCGAGCCGACGCGCGCCGCGGCGCCGTCACCTGTGACGTCACCGACCCTCTGCGGAACGGCGGCAGCACACGGGAGACGGCTTGGCCCGTGGTTTCTGCACGCGGTATCGGGCGTCACATGAAGCATCGGGTCAGAGCCTCGCTGCGGGCCTGACGTCTATCGGGCGTCACATGAAGTCTTGGACCTTGCTGCGGGCCTAACGTTTGTCGGGCGTCACATGAAGTACTGGGTTAGAGCCCTGTTGAGGGCCTGACCTTTCATCGCCGCCCACGACAACCGGTTCAGCGGACCACGGTGGCTGGTAACATGTTGCGTCGAATGCGTCGTTAAGCCTCCGTATGATTACGCAGAGCGTGTGAAGACCACGGAGACTCGTCTTTGTCTTATTGCGACTGGTACATGGGCTACTATGCCTGGTTGCCCCCGGATTTTTGTCGCGTTTCGCTTGCACGACTCCCTTGATCAGTGATACGTAGTTTTGTGCAGCCATAGAGCCGATAGAAGCACCGCAACCGTCGCGTCGAGCAATGTTGTACACCCACTGCACCAATGGGAACGCAGCGACGGGCTATGTTGTGCACCTACTGCACCGATAGGAACTCCGCGACGATTTGCTGGATGTGTGGCCCCTCGCCCAACTGTCTGTGCAGTTCGTTCAACTGCACGGAGTTCTAGTCAGTCAGCTGAGGTAGAGCCTCATTTGTTTCGCAAACGCTTGCACTGCCCGAAGGAGCTGCACCCAACCCAGTACAATCAGTCTGAAAGGCAGAACCAGCTGACTCGTCACTGGAGTGCCAGCGGTAATCTGCTGCAGCTAGCTAATGGTCGTGGTGGGGCGGATCCGTGACAACCTGCGGCACAATACCACCGGCCCTGGTCGACCTTATTCATCAATCGACGTCTGTCTGAAGAACGGGAAAGCCACTGGGTGCGCTCAAAAAGTGCAGTTGAAAAACATTCAGCCCATCCCAAAGCAGGCATTTGCCGTTTAGCGGTCTCGGTTAGCTCTGGGAACAGTAGCGCATGAAATGTGTCGCAAATCAAACACACCTGACATCATAATGTCTGCCGTTCGATCACGGTATAGTGACTATGTCACGCGGTACGGGGCGGAACGTGTCGTGCCATCGTCAGTCAGTGAGCCGACCCAATCACGGCCCGACGACATGCGACAGTGACGTCATCGTGCGATCCACTTGGGCGCAAGATCGGTCCGGACGCTCTCCGCGTCTCCAGCGGGCTGATGTCCAGCAGCCGGGACGCTCTCCGCGTCTCCAGCGGGCTGATGTCCAGCAGCCGGGACGCTCTCCGCGTCTCCAGCGGGCTGATGTCCGGCAGCCGGGGACGCTCTCCAACTCTCCAGTCTGCTGATGTGCGGCGGCCGGGGACGCTCTCCAACTCTCCAGTCCGCTGATGTGCGGCAGCCGGGGACGCTCTCCAACTCTCCAGTCCGCTGATGTGCGGCAGCCGGGGACGCTCTCCAACTCTCCAGTCTGCTGATGTGCGGCAGCCGTGGCTCAGCGAACTCAACGCCCATCGCGTTCCTGGTCACAGGCGGACGAAATGTGCCAGGCCCAAGCGCGCTGGCGTGCGCGGCGAACATCGCAGGAATCCCCTGCGGTGCCCTGCCTGATAACCTTGGAGCGCCGACCGCAGCCGACAAGAAGCGTCGGTGTCGTAACGCTTACGCGTGCTTCTTTTAGATATTCGATCGCGCTTCTTACGGGACCAACCCATCAAGCGCCTGAAGTCACCACGCGCCAGATTCGAGCTAGATCCACAGAATGTCGTGGGAGTATGGAAGCTTTTGGGAACGGACTGACGAATGCAAGCATGTTTGCACAGCCATTGCGGGATGTTGAGCGTACGCGTCTGCAGACTGCTGTCAGACGTCCATCGCACTGTGCGATCAGTAAAACCAACGGGGAATCAGTACCTGCGGTGCTTGTCAGCCGGTATTCTTACATCCGTGGAAGTATAGGAACTTTTTCACAAAAATACGCGTGGTGGCACGGCATGTGGTTTGATGCGCCTTTTATTCATGGAATGGATAACTAACAGTACAGGTGGTTTAGTGACCACGGTAACTGGTATGAAAATGACCAGGAGCTTACGTTCGCTGTTTATGTAAATGTTCATTCCGGCTAAGACACCGAAATGAGAGCTCGAGAGGCCGACTTCCTGGAGTCTTGGACGCATGAAGGATGCGAGAGCAGATGCGAGAAAACACAACTGTGAGAGATTTTAAGTCACCTAACCAACCTGACCCCGCTTTTTCGGATCTTGTGCAAATTTATCATCTAAGAAACTACGCGATTGGCGTTGCGTTGGAAATAGTACCAACCCGCGCGTGTGCCGTGGTTGTGGCCGTCCACCTGATCACATCGCTTGTCCTGGAGGGGGTCCACTGGCGCAGGACTGGTGATTTGTGGACGTCAAACGGTGCACGGGTGATAACGCGTTAAAGGTAAGGTGACCAAGGGAGTCACACAGTGATTGCGACGGTCATCAGGCGCTCTTAATTGGAGCTGCGTCGCCGGACACAGGGGCGGGGCCGGGAGCGGCCGACCCACCGCCCGCCGTGCTACCTGCGTGCAGAGCCATGGCGGCCGAATGCAAGGCCAAACAAGGCTGATCCCGTATAAAGCCGACCAGCGCTGGACATCGGCACACAAACACACACACCCCAACGCACACAGCGAGTCGTCCAGCATGAAGGCCTTTGTGAGTATCTCGCGGCCCGAAAACTGCATTGTGGGGTTGTCTTGAGGAAGAGGCGCCTGTTGACGCTTGGCCAGCTGCATTCGGGTTGTGGGAGAAGAAGTCGTACATCATCCCTCTGTGCTGGGATTCATAATGTTCAGCATGATGCTTGGGACATAATGGTTAGAAGATAACGTAAGGAACCGTCTGGTCATCCCGCTTCTGATTTTTTGAATGATCGTAACGAGCATATTTCCTGGCAAACGTGCATGGCACAGAAGTGTAAGACGAAACGAAGCCTACCTTGTATCACGGTTGGATGTTCTGCATTATAACTGACTATTTTCCCTTCCAGCTGGTGATAGCTGCACTAGCTGTGGTGGGCTCAGCTGCCCCCGGCAACTATGCCAACCTCAGGAGTGCTGCTCTCCCCGCTGACCTTGGTCTGAAGACCATAAAGGTGGATGAGCTCAAGGCAAGCCCTATCGGCCTGAAGAGCGCCACCCTCGGTCTGAGGACCGCCGCTGTCGGCTTTGCCGCCGCCCCCGCCATTGGCCTCAGGGCTGCCCCTGCGGCCATCGGTCTCAGAGCTGCCCCGGCTGCCATCGGTTTGGCTGCTGCCCCCGCCATCGGTCTGAGGACCGCCGCCATTGGTGTGGCCGCCCCCGCCATCGGTCTCAGGGCTGCCCCGGCCGCCATCGGTCTTAGGACCGCCGCCATCGGTGTGGCTGCTGCTCCCGCCATCGGTTTGAGGGCAGCTGCCCCTGTCGCTCTGGCTGCCCCCGCTGTGAGGTACGCCGCCGCTGCCCCTGCCGCCGTGGCCGTGGCTGCCCCCGCCATTAAGTACACCGCCGCCCGCGCCGCCGTCATCCGCCAGAACGTCGAGATCCCCGTCACCAAGACGGTCCACTTCGCTGACCAGCAGGTCGTCACTGGACACACCACGAGCATCCACAAGCCGGCCATTGCTGCCCCGGCCATCGCTGCTCCCAGAACCCTGGTCGGCAAGACCATCACCAACCCGGCCACGCTCAGCGTGCGCAAGTACCCCGCTGAGGTCAAGACCATCAACCACGTGCCCCAGCCGTACGATGTGCCTTACGATGTGCCTGAGCCGTACGCCGTGCCCACCCCTGTCCAGACCGCGCCCGTCGAGGTGAGGAAGCGCGTCTACGCCCCGGCCGCCTACGCCCCGGCTATCCACGCTGCCCCCGCCGTCGGCCTGAGGACCGCCGCCGTCCACGCCGCCCCCGCCATTGGCCTGAGGACCGCCGCCATCCACGCCGCCCCCGCCGTCGGCCTGAGGACCGCCGCCATTGGTGTGGCCGCTCCCGCCATCGGTCTCAGAGCTGCCGCCCCCGCCGTCGGCCTGAGGACCGCCGCCATTGGTGTGGCCGCTCCCGCCATCGGTCTCAGAGCCGCTGCCCCTGCCATCGGCCTGAGGACCGCCGCCATTGGTGTGGCCGCTCCCGCCATCGGTCTCAGAGCCGCTGCCCCTGCCATCGGCCTGAGGACCGCTGCTATCGGTGTCGCCGCTCCGGCCATCGGTCTGAAGACCGCCGCCATCGGTGTTGGTGCCCCTGCCATCGGTCTCAGGGCGGCTCATGGTGCCATCGGTCTTAAGACCGCCGCCTTCAACGTGCCGGCTGCCGTCGACATCAAGGCGCTCAAGGCCCATAAATGGTAAGATGCGTAGGCCGCATCGTCCACCAGCTAGCAATCACGTGCGGTGTGTTGTGACGTCATATGCCTGCTGAATCGGCGGCGGGCACTCAGTGTGCGAATGCCCGGTTCTGTGATCATCACTCTAAATACAATCTATTTTGTTATACGTGGTTGTTTTTGTGGTACGGATGCGGATGCTGCGATACGTTTCTGACGAACCAGCCCCGGTAACTCGTTCTGAAGGCTAACAAGAAACTGCCCTGGATAACATGCTGCTGAGGTGTCCCTGGACGCCGTCGAGAAGCCTTTTAATGTCATTTCCTGCCTATGAAAAGACAGACAGGAATGCCGTTTCTGGTGCACGCGTGACCCGGTTATATCCAGTACCATTCATGTCAGACTGACAAAGTTTACGGCGCGAGGCCGCAATGTTAAACTTTTCTGTCGCGTTTATCGACTGTGCTCTCCCACCGGAGGTAGCAAATGGACTCGCCCTTTATCCTAACTAAGCAAATATCTTAGCTGCTGACGCTAAGCGGCGGCGAGATGCGCTTGATCCTATGGCTGCTAGTAATGACCAATCATACGTGTGCGATCTGTTTTCAATGCTATGGCAGGCATCAGAACATTGCTGTCACCCTTTAACGGCACTTTGAACTCTGTTAAGTTCTCGGCAATCTTCACACTTTTAACTCATTTAAGTTTTCACTCTTTCACTCTTTAGGGCATTCAAGACAGCTGAACTGGATATCCAGTTCTGCGTGTCTGAGATGCGCCATCTTTAACCGCTGAGAACGCTGTCCAGGTAACATCGTTCGTGACACACCAAACGAGAATCAACGTTCTGCGAATGCTGCAGCTCACCGTTCACATCGATCCTGCTCGTCCCTCATTTCTCGGCAAAATCAGCGGTTTGAATAATGGGGATGGACATGAATTGCTAAATGGAAGGTGAGCATTGGAGATCAAGTTCAAAATTACTTGCTTAGATATACGCAAGATGCCCCAGATATGCGGTTTTTCACCATGATGAGCTCTCATTTAAACACGACCTGCTTACACTACGTTCTCGAGCGACCATTGCTATATATTGCGAGAAAACTCTAGGCTTCTCAGCGGTGTTCGTGGTCCCGAGTGAAGCTTATCTGTTACTGACGAGTGGCAATGTCTGTAGATTCTAGGTAGTCGCGCGGTGATCATGAACACTACCCTAAAACGTCAAGTCTTCTTATGATATGCTACATGCACCAAAGATTGCTCGAGAACGCTGCTAATCCAGTCACTTTTGGTGCATCGGTGACTCGTTTTTTTACCTAAGAACTGATAAGATTTGCATATCCACTTACATTTTCGAGCTTACCGATTATTGCAATCCACGTTAACGATCCTGGAAGGTCAACGTTGAAATCCAGGCAAGGTACTTGTACACTTCATATGGTGCTGGGTTCCTCTGTGGATACAAGCAAATCCATAAAGAACTGTAATGCTTATGACTCCGAGCTTTTTTGTACGAGTTACAGAAGCGCTGGAAGAAAAGGAAGGCAGACCAGTTCTCTCCATCGCATTGCATAGAAAGAAAAAGGCAGAGATCGTTGTTCTGACCATCTTCTCTACTACATCTTTCCTGGGGATGCGCCGTTACAGGTCAGACGTAACTTACGTTCGAGGCATATCACTATGTGGCTTTGGTCAAAATTCTAACTGACGGGGTAAACAAAAATCAACGCCCGCGGACATGTCCTGTTGCAAATATTGACAGGGGCAGAATCATATCAAAGAGTATTTTGATGGCGTGGTAAGTGCCTGCGTCACAAGCTGTCGCTAGGCGAGGCATCAGTCTCATCCAGATTTGAGCAAACAGTCCATGTCGGAAAGACAGGTACACCCAAATTTGCACGGAAAGAGGTAAGAAACCAAAAAGCTTCATCGTTAAAAACCTTCATAACAACATCCAGTTTTCTTCGCTAAGCTACACCGATCTTCGCTGGGTTTTACCACAAACTAAGACGTGAATTGGTCACGAAATATATAATTTGGCACTTCGTGCATTCCATGCTGGAGCTACGCACAGATTCTTACCCACAACTGAAATCCTCATGCACATGCTTCAGAAGAGACGTCACATAAGGCCACCAATAGCCACGCAGTCATTGGGTGCCAACCACGGTCCTTGGTGACATCATGCAACACAGCTCCCATAGCTGGTGGTCACGTGAAGGCTTGAGAGTGTCACGAAACTAACGACGGCCTGTGCGCCGGCACCAGGTGACCCGACTCATGGTTCGGCATCGCGGGGCGGCGCCCGCGAGCTCCACTAGCGGGGCATTGTGCGATATCCGGACATTACTGGTGTCAGCTCGAGCTGGATGGAGGCTGGGCGGAACCGGTGCCGGGCTTGAGGACCATAGCCTTTTCAGAGTGGTAAAAACACCCAAGCATCCACTAATTTTGGTAGACTGGTGTAGGTGGTAACAAATTTGGAACTTGCCCCCTCCCCCAACGTACCCTAGCGCCTCCCACGCATCCCGCGATCCGATGCTGTTCTGTTCCCTTGCATCCGTCAATTGGAATTTATTGAGCTGAGTACATCAAATAAGTTCAAGAGTTGCTCGAGCATCAATGAGATGAATAGTCTCGAAATCGCATGTGATTCACAATTATGTTTCATCCATAGTTCTGCCCTCGGACATTTTTTCGCACTGGACGCTCTCCAGTTCTGTTTGCTACGCCACTCCCCACACGCCACCGCGTAGCGCACAGGCGAATCGCCGCCACAGCTTCGTCTAAAACAGGCATTGGGTCGATACGCTCGCTTGCGTCTTCCGTCTTCACTAGCGCCGCCTCGCGGCCGTCCATGGACGTTACTGTTCTCCCGACCACGCAGCTGGGACTCGTGGCCGCCAACAGCGCACAAAGCCTAGCGTCATTGTCAGCGGCCGGTCGCCCATTCATATCAGGGTGACGCAGCTCTCGTGGTAGAGACCGCTGCCGGGAAAACGCTGGCAGTTTGGAGCACATATTGTATTTCCAGGAGTCAGTCGAACAACGAGAAGTGCATAGACGTCATGTGTTGCTGCGATAGCATTGGACGTGTCGAAATGTAGGTGACTGGTAGGCGAACACTACCAGCTATTGTCTGAATTTGGTTTTGTTGTTAATCGACGCATCGCCAGAAGGAGGATTTAAGGCTGGCTTTCGATTTCATCCAAGTGCGGGCTGCCTCGTCCAGCGCAAGGTAACCCTGTCCACTCTCTCCCTTCTCGCCATGACTTTCTCGTCGGCGCAGAATGATATGGACGCCGAAGCTCACATTTATATACTTATTACGTGCAGATCTCAGATCCTTTTGGTTCTGATCTAGATGATCGTGAACTTGAAAGGACTTTTTCACACCGCCCGACTCGAAGTTACCCGAGCCCATATCAGGTCACTGAATGTCACACGAGCCCACCATCTCAATGGACATGACGCGCTTAAGGTAATAAATATTATTACCATCGCAGCCATCGTATCTGGAGCATATCAGCAGTAATCATCGCATCTGCTGACAGGGGATGGCCAAGTACCAATTGCAGTCGCTATTAGTATACTTCCATCGCAAAACATGTTTTGAGATGCGGAACAGTTGGTTTTTTGTTCTTGTTTTTTTTTATCGCAGCCCTCCGACCAGAAATGATAATTTCAGGCTTGTGGGATGAAGGAAATGGTAAACGGTAGGGCAGACTTGCATGCGCCTGGGTGGTCAACCGCTGAGCTTTAGCGCGCGCATGTGCGCTGGGTACCCGGACGGGGTCCCCGTTCCCACAGGGCTCTCGGCCCACTCGTCGCTGGTGCATGTAACCTGCCCCGGACAATGGGAATGTCCCGAGGATGCAGAATGAGTCAAGAAAGAGGATAAGAAGGACGGAATACGAGGGGAGTTCAGTCAATTGCGCAGTCAATTGGGCGGATCTACTAATTATTACTGGCAATGAGGATGAAAATCAAATAAGTTAATAATAATGCCGTAATAGTGAACGCAAGAAGGCGTACAAAACATGAGATCACGAAAAAAATACACGACAACAGCACGAGAAAAGGTCAAAACACGCATACACCATAAAAAGCATCGACACGCGTGCCTAGACAACTAACGCCATCTTACTGGCGCTTGAAGAACCGCAAGTAAGTCACACCGTTCGCGATGGCGGCGGCCAATCTGACAGTGATTCTGACGTCATAAAAACGTTGTATTGCGTAATCAAACGATGACGTACAGCGGAGCAAATTTACGAAATGGCGCAGCACTTAAGAGCATATAAATAATTACAAGTGAGATTCTTTCATGATGTCTGATGCTTGCTTCAACATCTTCGAATGTGGAACACTCACTTTAAATCGCCAACGTTGCTCCTC